CCTAACCCTAACCCTAACCCTTACCCTAACACTAAACTTGACCCTAAACCCTACCCTATGTTGTACACTCGCACAGACACACACATGTTCACGCACGCGCGTACGAACGCACGCACGTACGCTCGCAGGCATACACAGGAACATCTCTATCAGGTAATTTTGTTTAATTTTATTGCGTACTGGCTCCCCTAGATCCTATCTGTAGAAGCGCTTGGTTGAGAGCGTTGGAGTCAGTAGTCTCGCTGTAGAAGAAAATCAAGCCGCCTGTGTCAGTCGAAAGAGCTTCAAGATTGGGATCCGCTGCCGTACCTATGGCAACAGAGTCGACGGTGATCCGTTTACTGATCAACTGCGAATAATGAAAAGCAAAAAAACACATTTCAGAACGGTTTCTGCTTTCATGCATTGACTTCTTGTATTTACGTGAATATCATCGTCGTCATCATTATCACCCAACCGCGTTATTGTTGTTGTTCACGAATACTCGGTTAAGTAATACGCGCCGTGCGAATGTTCATCGCGGATTATTATTGGTCTTCTACGATACAGCGCCGATAACTATATAGCGTCTCCATCCCCTTGATTTGCACAGACGCTCTCATCAGGCGGTCTATTACATCTTGTTTCTCTGTGTCGTACGGGTTTGACTGTCCGTCCGTCACTAACAGGATATATTGGCCGTCTGGCTGAATCGCTTGCGAATCCAGGGACGATAAAACGGCGATGGCTTCCAGCAGACCTGGGCGAGAAATTTTTCATTTTAAAATAGAATCGAGGACAATTCTGACGTCGTCAACGAACAACCGAAGTAGATTCGAAGCGAGTAAGCACGCGCTCTTTATTATACCTAATTACTGTGTGGCCTTGACGGGGCGTTATTTGCTAACAATTAGCTGTAAAAGATGGTGATATAAAAGATGTTATCTAGACGAAGAATGGATGACTGCGTGCGACATTGGGTAATTTTCTCCCACCCACCGAATTAAATCTAAGGAGGGCAACATGTAGGTTGTCCATCCGATACCACTTTGTGTAAAAGAAATGTTACGCGAACGTTAGAGCTCTATGTTGAAGAGGAACTATTGGTTATGTGATGCGAACTCATCAAGCCGCTTGACGACAAACGCGAGGAGATACTACACGCAGTGGAATCTCTTCCCGCCGCGTCATTGATTAGGACAGCACAGCAGGAGTGAACCAAATGCGCTTCTTATTCTCTCCTGAACGTACCTATAACATTCTCTATATTGTAGTAAAGCGAAAGGCGCTAGAAACGTGAACGCGCCGCGAATGCACACGGGGTATTTCCATGCTACGAGCACGCATTTTCTATTTGCCAAGCATTTTACCAACCTGCCAAACTGCTCTCCGTTATTCAGAGTTTCTGGTAGTACTCGGTCCTTTGTTTCGGGCAAGAACATCGCTAACACCCCGGCTATAACTGCCGGAAGTCCAAATATGACGAGAGGCAACGTGACAGTCGAATAGTGCGTTCCCTACAAAAAAATTAACGTTACTACATGATCAAAATAACATAACTCTTATTATTATTATAAATGTTGTTGTTGTTGTTGTTGATGATGATGATGTTGATGTTATTGTTATTGTAGTTGTTGCTGCTGTTGTTGCTATTGTTGTTGTTGTTGTTGTTGTTGTTATCGTTGTTGTTGTTGTTGTTGTTGTTGTATGTTGTTGTTTGTTGTTGTTGTTATTGTTGTTGTTATCGTTGATGATGTTGTTGTTGATGTTGTTGTTGTTGCTGTTGTTGTTGTCGTCGTCGTCGTTGTCGTTGTTGTTGTTGTTATTATTATTACCGAGGTGTCAAAACCTTGATGTGCTTTATTTACAGACCAAGCGTTCTTCGTTTTCGTTTGAATGCTACCGACTCGATGTTTTAAAATGTTCCTAACCGATTCATTGCACAAATAATCTCTAATCTCTATTCCTCGAAAGCTCAGATAAGGTTTGCTAATCACGTTAACAGAGGTTTTATTGCATTATTTCCTACATTATAGATTACTATGTATATCAGTTCACGTATGAGTTCCATCATATGCGCGCACAAATAAAGGTCTTACAAGGCATCATAAAGACACACACGAGCCGTTATATCTAGGGGCGTAGTGTAAGTGCACTGCTAGGTTACGATTAGAGAGTCTATATCTTCTGTAGACACTAAAATCGTATTTACACAAAGTGCGTCTGTATGATTATGTAATCCATAGTCATACAGACGCACTTTGTGTAAATACGATTTTACACAGCTACAACAGCTACACAGGTACAAGCTAACCATTATCATGATGGTAATAACGCAAATAAACACTAATACTCCCTAGTTTACCCGTACAAATAATGTCCAGGTTCCTCAACAACGTCAACCATCGCGGTCTGTACAGCGAGATACCATACAGACTGGTTAAATACGGGGTTTTACAGACACGCCTGTTAAAATCTTTGTCGGAAGCTTTCGTGATGCTGCCCACGCTATACCCCCCCCCTCCCTCCCCCGCATCGATCGGCTACCGTCGTACAGTACGGCGGCAATAAAGAACTAAACGTGCATATGTCTGCGGATTCACCCCGTTTAAATCCCTAAGTTGCTAAATATATCGCCAGATGCGCAAACGCAGCCTTTTTGCGACGCTACGTATATACGTACCAGCATGGATATGTAAGGAGCGAGGATAGCGCCGACTCGGGCGAATACTGAGTTACTGCCGACGCCCGCGTTACGCACTACGGTCGGATATATTTCGGCGCTGTACAGGTAGACGACAGTGAATGTGATCGAGACGCTAAACTTGCCGAACGTCGCAAGCCCGACGATCAACCAGCTAAAGCCTGTTGGGAGAAAAACCACAATGCATTCAGGTTGACTGATGTTGCTGCAAATCTGCTTTCGCGCCACGGCCTGTAGAGCCTGTTCTGTCAGCGGCTATATGGAAACAACTTAGCATAACACAGTTATTATTCAGGTTGCTCGTCTTTCGCGGTGGAGATAGTTTTAGGACAATATTAGAGGTATATATGCCTGAACTCGACTGAAAAAGACAAATGACGACATACCGGCGCACAGTGCATGTGACAGCAGCTAGAGAATGTAAAACTTAAAAATGAAATGTGCTGGGAGAAATGAGCACGGTTCAACGCTGTTATGGATAACTATATAACTTTTATCGTTGGCGTTTTAAAATTTCGCATTTTCAGTCGAATACGCGACTCTTTGAGCGGTATACTGCATGTAGAGCCCAACGCAAGACTCACTTGACCGCGTGTGTGCGTCACTCGTTGATACATTTCTGGTCACGTGATAATCACAACGATAAGAAGAAAGCAACAACAGTTAATGTCCGCATCAATAAACGATATTAAATTGTCTTTTTTACATTCGAAAAACGTCCCTAAAGTACTCTAGCATCACAGCTAATCGAACTACGTGTTAGCATATATTATATATATATTATAGGTCCTATTATAGACACCCTGGTGTTAGCGAATACCGTGTAAGAACGGCAGAGCCGTCACCAGGCAACTGATGCCGCTAGCCAACATCGTCGCAGATGTAGTCAGTCTGCGTCCGAAGCGCTTCATTGTATACATGGCGACCAGATGAGCGGGTATCTCAACGAGGGAAGCCAGAGTGAAGCCGACATAAGGGTTGCTGCCCAGGTTCACGGAGTTCAATGAAAGTCCGTAGTATACCATCGATACGACGAACCTATAAACAACGGGTGACAAATAACCTATATTAAATGGCATATGATAGGGTGGTGTGCGACAGGTAGCAAAGTGACATATGACTGGTAACAATGTGCATGGTGACATGTGACAGATGACCTGTTGACCTATGGCAGACAGGCCTACATGTGACAGGCATAGGATGTATAGGGTGACATGTGACACATGAATTGGTGACATGTGACAGGGTGACATGCAACAGACGACAGGGTGACATGTGACGCACGATAGGGTGACATGTGATAGGTAGCATATGACATGATGTCATAGACGTCTGACAGATGACCGAGTGACGTGCGACGAAGCACCCGTACTCACAGTTGCGCTGCAATAGCAACATTTTATAACGTTTTTACGTATTGGGCAAAATATTTCCTCTTCTCGTTTCTTCGCGCTCTGATATGCATGTCAGTGACATTACCACTGATACATCATGATGAGGGATTTCTTCCTCATGTTTGGCGTACGCAGTGTGTCCATGACGTTCGGTTCTCTCACCTTTCCGTCGTCGGTGACTATCTGATGCTTCTGAAATTGTCAGACCCGTATATTAGAAGGTCATTCCTTCGTACGATGGGAATCAGTTAATTTTGTATTGTGACTATTGAAATGCAGGCCCCGTCCAACCATTAAACAACCCAGCCCGTCGCCCAAGGGAACATAATAAGGATTTGCCATTTAATTTGTTATTGAAGAAATAATATATATATGTGTATAATTACAAGACTAAAGAAATGGCCAATATTCTAATTAGAAATTTCAGTGGTAAATGTCAAACGTGTTATTAGGCCTACGTGCTTGATCCATGCAGCCATTGGTGCTTCCACAACGCAACACTGGCATGACTGGTAGGAATCAACATATGAACATAGATACAGGAAGATTGGATATTCAAATCCACCGGACATTTATGACAGTCGTCAATGGACTCACCAAGGAATACCAGTGAAATATTCAACAGGCATCTACAGTCACTCTATAGGCCTATAGTAAATTAACTTCAAATTTTTTTCTACTAATATTTTGGGAAACTAATGAAACCTCATGCAAAATTTCACTAATTTTCTAAAAATTAAATTTTCTAGTAACCTACCTACCCTATATTTTGCAAGTTCTGTGTAACTGCAAACCAACAATTTATTAAGGATGGCCTGGGGAATGCAACTTGTGAAAAAGGGGCATTGTCCCCAAGCCTAGTAGGCCTATTCGGAGGAAAATAAATGGTTGTAGTATTCCAAACCCATTATATTTTTACATTGCACACCTTCATAATTATTCAAAAAATTTGGCTGGGGGGGTAGTAGCTGCCACCCATACCCAGGCACACATAGGGCATGTTGCAACTTTTATTATTGAATCCACTAGTGAGGAGGTCTATAATTGATTTATTCTATTCCCTTTAAATTATTTTGATTCAAGCGTTAAACAAGAAAGTTTTGACCCCCATGCATATTGTGGACCTGGTGACACTGATGGCGTGACTGGCCTCCTCCGCCTGCCTTGCCCATTAAACTCGAGTATGCACTGCATAAAGGTCAAGACACACTGCAGCGACAGCGACCGACAGTAACGACAAACGACTTTTCAGAAAATTGGAAACTATTGTTTCTTATGAGCCATTGCACGCACACGACAACGACCGGCGACCTCCTTGACGACAAAAATATTTAGGAACGTTTCTAATTTCCAGCAACAGTCGCGCGCGACACTTTACAAATAGCCAATAGCAGCCATTTCCATTGGCACGTGACATTACGATTACGTCATAAATAACCCATAATGCTAGCCAAGAGTCAAGACGTATAGACTGGTCTCCGGCGCTAAACTCGCGCCGCATGTCACAAACAATGGGGCCGCGAACCAGTCTAACCAAAGCGTGCAAGCTGTGGCAAGCTACAGTCACTAGCTGTATGACACAGTGAGGCACGAAGGGTCATTGTCGTATCAAAAATTAGGGTTAGGGTTAGGGTACACTTCTGTAGTACAAGTCTGGTACACTTTGGCTGATAGGGTCTATATGTCCCCCAGGGTACTGCCGGAACGTACCCTGGGCCTGGGTGGTACCAGAGCATATAAATCAACGTGATTTATATGCTCTGCTGGTACTATCTAATATGCCGGACCGTACCTCGCCTACTCCACTAACGAGTCTAGGGAGTCGCCTATACCCCCACCACCCCCTATATAATAACTGCATGATGCAAGGAAATAGTCTGTTTTTAATTGGCAGTCGTCGTGATAAGGGCAGCTATATATAGCACCCCTCATAAAAACCGGTTCGTAGTTTACATACGCGGAGTTTGAGCAGAAAGTTAGCAGTCGCGCGCTGTTATCAAGGCTGCTATAATGCAGCCCGCCTAAAAACCGGTTCGTAGTTTACATACGTGGAGTTTGAGCAGGAAGTTAGCAGTCGCGCGCTGTTATCAGCGTGTTTCACTAACGTTCGTTCGCTATTTTTCCTTCGCTATTTTCAAAGTTGATCGGTAAATAGCGAAGAGCACGTCCGCGCGTGTTTCACAAAGCTCCGTTCACTAAAGTTATTCGTTATTTAGCGAACAACTTTACCGACACCCTTACCGACGTCTCGGTAAATTTAGCGAAGGATTTGCGGTGTATTTAAACCCTATAAAAACATAATGTAGCGCAGTGTGCGTTGTATATTGTAGCAGCGATGTTGCGGAGGTTGTTTCAGATAAATGCACCTAACTTTACTACAAACGATAGTACCTATATAGGCACACTATTCACGCAAATACAAGCTCGTGCTCGTGCTGTACACACATACACAATCACACTGACACAGGCAGACTTGCCAATCTCTATCAATTCGTCTGCTAAAACGCGCGCCTGGGATCTACTTTAGGCTCTGTTTTGCCTGCCTGTCGAATAGAAAGAATATCAAAATGTTATATGTGTTACTCTAATCTTTCAACAGTTCATAATATATTGTAATGTGTGTTGTGAGTCTTTACATGCTATCGATGCCACAGATTTACAGGCAAGTGTATTCTCGGTTTGCAAACCGGTTGTCGAACAAGAGCTTGAGCATTGACAGATGTGACACACGCGTTAGCACGTAGCAAGCTCCGAGAATATAGCACCCATGCGACACAGCAATTAGCACGCACCTATACCTAAAACACTTCGCACTTATTTCGAGTAACTCTTATCGTTGACATCACAACTGCAAGCTCAGCAGCATATACAATGTGAGCACAACTGCACAACTGCAAGCAGTGAGCACAACTGCACGCAGCGGAGTCTATAGTGACAAGCATGGCGAACTTTTTATTGTATCAAGCTTATAATCGAGATAATGAAATACGACATTTACAAAGAGGAAGAGTTTTCAGAGACAGAACACAACCGTTTGATGCCTACAATGATACAGAAATTATCGCCAGATATAGATTGCCCCCCCCCATGTCATTGCTAATCTAGTAGATCAACTGGACGATGAGCTCAGCCCAAGGACAATAAGATCTCGAGCCATTTCTTCGTCTTTGCAAGTATTTGCGGCATTGCGATTTTATGCAACTGGAAGCATTCAGCAAACGGCTAGTGATACACTAGGAATCAGCAAAGCATCTATGTCAAGAATAATTTACAAAGTGTCGCGAGCGCTGGCACACCGAGCCAACCAATATGTTTAGCGTAACCTAGCAACAACTGCGCCGCGTGTTTGTAGTTGCCGCCAGCTGACGCGAAGAGAATAGCGAAGCGTTAGTGAAACGTGTTGTTCGGTAAAGTTGATCGGTAAAGTTATTCGGTAAGTTGTTCGGTATGCCTTAGCGAACGAACAACTTTCGTCGGTTAACGAATAACTTTTAGCGGACGTTAGTGAAACGCGGTCCTCAGGGCTGCTATAATGCAGCCCTTATAGAACGTAATAGTTTGCAATGTTCACGTTTTTGTTGACTATATTATAGCAGTGTTCTCATAGGCTGGCCACTTCTTGCTAGCTTAATAGTACATGGAGTGTATTTGGGGCATGCATTGTTTCAGAATTTCACTTTGTGGTAGAACTACGCAGAATCTATGGTTTTGTTGGAGTAGTCTGATGTAAAATGCTATATTTGATTTATAACTCCATTTTCTTGGCATGAAAACATTTACCTAACTTTGTATTTCACTCGACAGCAACAAATTGTAAATAAAGAAGCTTCTTTAGAATAAATTCTGCAAGTTGTATATATTTATGATGTTCACCCTGATTTTTGTAAAGAGTATTTACACGTTATGCAATTTGAAGTCTCCAACTTTACACCGAAACATAAACATCTGTAGCAGCAGAAGAAATGGGCGCCAATTTATAGTTAGATTACCTCATCTTTAGCCGATATTTAAGCTTTGGTGCCAAATTTACCATAAAATTGCGAAACATTAGCAGAAATTCTCATTTCCAAGAATTCAAAAGTATTTCCAATGGTGTTCTCTGTCTATATTTTGCACGAATCCTCTTGCTCCGCGTTAATCACGGAACCATACACCTTTATACCCCGATCGTCAAGCTAGATGACTTTGATGATGCAGATTTTTATCGGCTTTTTGCAACTGCATGCGTTGACTTGTTATTAACCTATGAAAAATAACAGGTTTGGACGCATGTGGTTTCGTTGAATTTAATTTACCGTAATGGTTATGTAACCGGATGCACTGTATGCCAAGGTGGAGATAATAGTAGAAGGTAAACTTCACGGAAACACAGCTGAGCCAATGTTTTCTTACCGAATGAGCATGCCTCTAAAATTATGCTCTATATCGCACAGACAATGTGCAATTTTATTTAGAATAAAGTTTATAAATAATTACATTAAATCTTTATCATCATTATCAAGACTATTGCATTGTTTTTTTGTCGCACAAAATGTTCTTAAATCATTTTAAAACGATATTTTTGTCGAATATTTACATATATCCTCGTTAGAAATAGTTACATAATTACATAGAATAGTTACATATCCTCGTGCATGTGACACGCATGTAGTTAACAATCGTATAGCGAATTACTGAACTGACGAATTGACGTTCTAACAGAACGTGACGGCATGCTATACAACAGCCAACCATATGCAGTCCTTCCATATTACGCGAATTTTAAAATAAACTGCAAACTTATAACAGCAATTCAATATAAAACATCAATAATCAAGAAGGTTATTTGTAAAAATCGTCCGGCGCTCGGACGTACATACCTGTCTATTGACGACACGCGACTGCTACTGCCAAAATCGTCTGATAAAACGTATCAAGAATGGCATGCAGATGTACTAACGCAACAGCAAATACCGTGTGCACACCAATTTATCAGGTCCAGTGTATGCGGTAAATACATGCGCGGACATGCGCCAAGATGGCTGGGATATATCTCATTGTCATTGGTGAGGAGCATTTCGCGTGTCATGAAATAATAGCAAAATTTCGACAATTCGAAATAAATGTCGCCCGCTGAGCGGTGCTGCCACATAGTATGAGCGTCTAAATAACGAAAAATATCCATATTTTTGAAGAGGGAGATTAACTTCTGCTAAATCATATAACTACCCTGTTACGCCCACAGAGTTTCATTTTAAATTAGATCCGGCCGATTTGTGGACAATGCGTTTCTGAACGCCCCCATTTTCCCGTACCAAGTGCATAGGTTGGATGTTCCAAATGCACAGAGTAACTGTTCAAAGCTTATCAGTAATAAACGTAGTATCTAAATGCGGGATTACACAAATCATTCATACGGACACGTTTGCTTAAAATGCATGGTAGAAAAATAAAGTTGTGACTGTGGATGATGAAGGTGAGGATCGAGGCAGATGAGAAAGAACAGAAGCAGATGAAAGGAGAAATGGAAATGGGCGAGGACTGCGAAAAATGAAGAGAATGTGAGAAAGGTAAAGACATTTAATCCAGGATTGACGAGACACCCTACGTTACACATATATACATTTTTAGTATGTAAAAATATCTTATGAAACTTTCTCAGATTCCCGAAAATGACATCCGAATGAAGAATACTGATTGAACTGACACGTTGGTGTTGTTGTTTTTATAAATGTGGCATATTGTGCGTACTATCCGATGTGCGCCATGCTAGGCTAGGCTATACAAACAAGTATGGGTTCTTCACGAAACGTGTTCTGAGAAACGTGACGCAGTCTTCGCGTAATAACTAATAAATAACGCAATTGGCACCTACTTGATATGCAATAATTATGAGTGTATGTATTACGAATGTTTTAACGCGACACATCTTGAAATTTCAATAACGACAGCTTTTGGAAAATAAATTAAGTTGATAAGCACGTCGATGGCAGTTGAGCGTTTTATAGTACACGTTTGTACCTATAATATATGTATTATATATATATATATATTTATTTATTTATATATGTGTGTATAAATGTGCCATGCATGACAGCGGATGGCACGCATGTTTTAGTACACGTACCTAAACATCAAGTTGGGTAAATAAACGTGATATCTATGACAGCGAGTACCTTCGCTGTTTAAACCGACCAGGTGAAAGCCGAGTAAACAAAACTTGAGTAAAAACGGCTGAGTAAGCCCAACGATTCTTCTGTGAAATGATCGTAAAAGCATGCCTTTTCATCGTGAAAATTTAAGGATGCATTTCGGCAATTATCACCGAGCTCACTTCTGTAAAGTGATAATCACAACTAAGCTAGTGTCTATCGCTACAGACGATTCACTAGCTGTTCTCACTATTAGAACTATCCGAGGTTAGGCCTAGACTTTAGACGTCTGTCTATCTGCGAGATTTGCTGTCACTGCATGGCCGACGATACACGTCAAACTGGGTCCGGTGTCGCCATCGGTTCGGATATCGTTGGATCTACTACTTTTCTAGGCATAAACTGCCAAAATCTTTGGTCCCTGTAAAATCAAAGTTTATATTATTATCATCTCATGGATTCGGGTGCGATATATAGGTACTAGGGTGGTATAAACTACAACTAGCAAGTTCTATAGATTGTCGGTCAACGGGGTCATTTTGCCTTATAAAACGTACAAGACTATATATTATTATTATTATTATTTTATTATTATTATTAAAGGGACAGTAGCCTCTACTTACTGTATAACAAATCGTCTATACTCACACGTATTTGTTACCAGATACCCAATTTAATTGTTATAATTATTTACACATCGACGCTACGAAATTTGAACGGCGCCATGACACCCGCGACCGTGGTGCCACCCCGAAAAAGTTGCGTATATGACCATTTATTTTCCAGGTTACAGACCGAGGGCTAATCACAAAAGTACGTAATCCACATAGAGACTTCATTCGTGTGTCTAGACCCATGTTTTCGACACTAAGCAATTGATCTGGCATGGATTCAAACCCCTACCATCCTTCCGACTGCCAGAAATCCAATATGGCTGCCATGCATAATGAGGTCAACCGTAAAATCACCATAACTGACCAACTGTTGAAAGATAGAGACTTTGTTTTGATGTTTAGACCCATGTTCTTAACACCAAGGATTCCATCGTCTATAGAACTTATATATTTAACAGTAAGTTATTATTATATATGAAAATGTTAAATATTATGATGCAGCTAGATCATGGAATACATAGATGAACACCCAA